CCAGGTGAAGGGTGGAGATGGCGGTGTAGGTGGCAACGTGTGGCACCGCACGGAGCGGGAGCTCCTGAGGCAAATCTGATCAGGCGTTCAGCTCTGGAGCCCCCAGGGTAGGAAGGACATGGATGTGTTGGAGCGGGGCCAGAGGAGGCCACAGAGATGATCCGAGGGCTGGAGCACCTCTCTTCCGAGGAAAGGCTGGAGGAGCTGCTGGGGCTGTTCAGCCTGGAGAAGAGAAGGCTCTGGGGTGACCTTAGAGCAGTGCCAGTGCCTGGAGGGGCCGACAGGAAGAATGGAGAGGGGCTTTTCACAAGGGTGTGTAGTGATAGGACAAGGGGGAAAGGCTCTAAACTAAAAGAGGGCATATTTAGATTAGAGATTAGGAAGAAATTCTTCACTGTGAGGGTGGTGAAACACTGGCCCGGGTTGCCCAGAGAAGCTGTGGTTGCCCCCTCCCTGGCAGTGCTCAAGGCCAGGTTGGGTGGAGCTCTGAGCAACCTGGGCTGGTGGAAGATGTCCCTGCTCACGGCAGGGGTTTGGAACCAGGTGAGCTTTAAGGTCCCTTCCAACCCAAACCATTCTGTGGTTCTATATCATGATGTGGGCATACAACCGGGGTGGTTTCATCATCCTGCTCTTCCCAGCTGGGCAGCTGCGCAGAATCGCGATGCGAGAAGTCTGCTGGAGAAACGCTCTGCATACTCTCGTGGCTGTTACTCGTTAGATAGAAGTTGATATTTAACTCTGGTGATGTTTAGTTGCTGAGGTTTTCCATCTTGGGTTCTCAGGCTACCCCGTGTATAGAACGTTTCCTCGTGTGACTACAGAAGGAGTCTGAATTTCATCCATCAATTGGGTTTGAAGTTTTTCTGTTCGTGACTTGCACCCGCTGATGCCCCAGGCACAGGCAGCAACGTCTCGCCACGGTTTGTGTCTGGGGGCACCGAGCTGGGTCGTTGCTGAATAACGGCAGATAACCCATGTGTTCGTGCAACAGCGAGATGGTGTCAGTCACGGGAATGCTGCAGGAAATGCCCTGTAAATGTGAGTGCGTGTAGAGAAGTAGAAGCCCTTGGAAGCTTTATGCCACATCACTGAGAGCAGCATTCACCTGGACGCGGCGCTTGCGTGCCAGAGTCTGGGGTTTTGTCTGCTGCAGTGGAGCCCAGCCCTGCAGACTGGGGGTGGGCTGTGAAGTACAGGAGAAAAGCACCGAACTCTGCTCTGTTGATGACTTAACCCATTTGATGAGCTAAAACTACTTCTTGAATTTCCGAGTCATGGAACTGAATCAGATATTTAGAATGTAACTGTGCTGTTCTTGTCTCTGTTATGTTCAGTCTTAGCAGCAGAGACTGTGAATTACGGTGACGGCAGCTTAGAAATCAGCGTGCTCTTTTGCCTTGCAGTGCTCCTCAGTAGAACAGCAAGGGTTGGAAGTAGCTCTGCCTCTCAAAAAAACCCCAGTGCTTTTTTATATGGTAGCATTTCTCACCCTGACAGCTTTTCAAACATGTAAAAGAAGTATATCTACAAGGGTTTTCTGTAGTAGTTGCCTGCCAAGACTCCTAATGGAAGGAAGAGGTGCACCTCGTAACTTGTGGGCCTTTCTGAACCATGGGCACGAATTCATGCTGTGTCAGTTGGTTTTAGTAGTGGTGATTACAAGCAGGGCATAATTCTATTTGCCATTTTTCACTGAGCATGGAATGTGTCCCAGTTCTAGCTTGGATGTGTGGGTCATGTCTACAGCCGTTTGAGGGGAAGCACAGGAGGCTGAAAGAGATCCCCAAACACTTAATTTCACCTTAGCTGAAGAAAGACTGTCTCCTTTCTGCAGTGAATGAAAGTAGCTGAACTAGGAAATAATATTAGGCTATATTTCTTTTACGTGAGTACAGTACATTAGTAGAGGACCTGTTACTGATACTCGGATATTGAAGTGTCACGCAACTTGCCGTTAAAGGCCATGGTGAGGCAGACCACTAATGCTTTTTCTTTTTTCTTTTTTAGAAACCAAGTGCTAGAAATGTTTGATCATGCGTACAGCAATTATATGGTAAGTAAAATACTCGTTTGTTGAATTTTTTCGGAGTTGTTATTGCTGACCTGGGACAGAAAGCAACGTACAGTACATGATGTTCTATAGAAGTAGCAGGGGGGTAGGGGTGAAAACAAAGCTAAAATAAGTGAGAGCACCTGTATAGCCTTTAAAAAGAAATGAACAAGTGTTACGTTCGGGAAGAGCAGTGTCAGGAGGGTTATGATGGCTTTCGGAATGGTAGCTAGCAATTGCTGGTGGTAACTCTGTGCCTGGTCTTTCGCAAACCAGTTTGTCTGGCATCACTCTGTGAGCGTTTTTCACCTTTGAAGGATTTGGCTGGAAATTTCAGACTCCTAAAAACACTAGGACAAGGAAGCTAAAGAAGGTCTGTCTGTAGTCGCCAGATTCTGGAGAATACAAACTGCTGGTACTCATTTTGTAGGTAAAAACGATGTGCAGTATTTCTTCTGCGGTAAGATTCGTTAGCTGCGGTTTGGTAGCTCTTTTACCAACAGACACTGTAGAACAAAAAGGGGACCTGGTGTCATCGCTACTCGTTGTTGCCTCTTCTGAGTGCGTGACTGTCGTGTGACAGGGAGCCGTGCTCACTGTGGTTTCTTTGGACGCGACCTGTGATTTTCTGTGCAGATGTCTTCATGTCTGGGGTATGTGAGCCATTCTGCGCTCTGATCAACCTTGAAATATGTCAGCTTAGCTTAGATGTGTTTAAGGAATTACTTAGAGTGGACTGACTTTCCTCAAGTAATAATTACTTTTGAATATACTATAAGTAATAAGCTTCTGAGGAGAAACTGTAAACGTGAAGAAGATAACTATGAAAGGTGCATTCTTACGGAGTTTATGTTAAAACCTTTTTGTATGTTCTTTGTGGCTGCTGCTGAAACCTCTCTCTCTTAAGTTGCACCAGTTCCTGTGGGACCAACTGCTTTCCCTCGGCAGCATCTTGCTACGTGCCCCAGTTTCTGTATTATGGTTTAACGCTGTGATACGTAATACAAACTGAAAAGCGTGAGAGTGACAGGTTTATACAGTACATGAGAGTTATAGAATTAATGGCTGGAAAGCCAAGCAAGGGTAGTTTCAAAGCGGATGTTGTTTTTCCTTTGTAACATTAGCTTTTGCTTTTGGCACCTTAGCAGTTTAACAAACGTCAGACTTTCTGGTGAGAATATGTAGCTGGCTACCTGGGACCTGGTTCCATGAACAAGGCTGGAGTGGGGTTTCCCGTGGCATTCTGCAGTGAAAACTGTTACGTATTCGGCAAAATTGGATAAAAAGTTATACGCTGTTACAAAGGAGCTGTGCTCCTGCTGTTACTTGTGCTAACTTGGAAACTCATAGGTGTCTTGCGACATCTGAAGCAAGAAAAGTCTGGATGAAAGAGCAGAATGACTTCAGCTATCCTGGAAACTTTGAAGCCAGAAGGATATTTACTTGCCACGTACGCAGGAGCACTAAACAAACAGAAATACGAGTTCTTTGTTTAAAGCTGAAGAAAAGATTATGGTATCGGACTTGATTCTGACAGCAAGAGAATTAAATGGTTTTGCAGCTGCTGTTGAAACGGCCAGCTGAAAAGTTTTGATTTTTCTGTTTCTATTCATATGTGTTTTAGCCTTGCGTATTTAGAAGACTGAAAATTCACGTTTGCATGCAAGGGGGAAACTCCCTTGTCTTTTTTTCAGTTGTTGACAGGAGCTTTGAGTAAAAAACCTGCTGGTTTTTTCAGTCCTTCAACAATATTTGCAATAATCAGGATTTTTTTTTTTCTTCTTGACTGTCAGAAAGAATGCGTGACGGTATCAGTCCCTAGGCCAGCAGGTATTTACAGCACTAGTAGCAATGCGCCTTTTTTCATTGTTCAAGTACTCTGCTGCCCTGAATTTACAGTCCTGACACCAGGCAATGGGATCATCTGTTCAATCAGAATGTGTAGAGATTCCGGAGTGTCTCGTGAGCTCCGGTTGTATAATGTTTTCCAGAAGGATGCTGTTGTAACATTTGTGCCGTGGTTAACGGCTCTTGCTACCTTCCTTTGAGGTTACTTGAAAGGGGCCAAGTTACGAGTTGGGAAACCACTTGACCCAGTGGCCTGTCCTGCTCTGGACAGAGAATAAGTGGACTTTTGTTGTTCAAGATGCTTCTAGTTCCTTGTGATTTTGTAAGACCAAAAGTCTGTTTTCTCCAGAATTTTTGTCACCTTATTTTCCTCCGTAATTTAAGCCAGAGATCTTATTTTTGACATTGGTTTTGTCATGTACTTCTTTAATCTCTTTTTCTGAATACTTTGCACGGATATTCAGAAACGTCTGAGCCGTATTAAAATGATCTAGATTCAGGCTTTTGTAGTTATGGAGAACAAAGAGTCGTGCAAAGACCAAAATACTTGGGAGGGTGGTAGACTGGGAAATAAACCATCAGTTTCAAAAGAAGTTGCTGCAAAAGCTGTTTGTTTATAGAAGAATGTTCTTTCTTTTCCTCTCTATTTCATGTTTGAATACAGATTATTTTTTGTACCATATATTTGGAAAGACTTTGAATGTGTTTACTTGCAGTTTCTGTGCAGCAACTGAACTTTTTTATCCTGCCACATGTCCGTTCTCCACTAAAAATAAAATTGGAGGGAGCAGTACAGCAGGCAG